ACCATCCATCCTTACAATTTCCCCATCTTTTATATTTCTTCACTGTATATAAGATTTTTGTACCTAAGTTATTTTTTATGATTTAATATCATGTGTAGATATTAATAAATCTATCATCACGACCAAATCCATCTTAGTAATTTATTATGTTCTTAAAATTCATTTGGTTGGCGCTTGGTTTTCGCTCGGAGCAAAAATCCATTTTTTTAGACGCATCAATTCATAATAAAATAATGCAGTAAATGCACTTTGAGAAATGCTGAAATTCTATTATTGTGTGAAAATCGCAATCATATGCAAGACCCATCCATCAGTTTTTTAACGTAATTCTGTTACTTGATATTATTCTTATCTACAATCACGGATTTATAATTAATTAATTTAAAAAAAAAATAATAATTTTTTTTATCGTCTTACTCAAAACCATATTGTAAATATGACGATTAATTACCGATTTAAAATATACACATGTAATTTTTTTTGTTTAAAAGCAAAATTGTATAAGAAATCATATGTACCGATATTTATATACCGTATATTATCCCTAGGTCAATTTTTGATAAATTTTGATACTTATTTTTGTAATATATTTTTGAGAAAAATATTATTATGTTATTTGTACTTTGATCATTAAGAAAAAAGATTAATCTTGTTTTGAAGATTTAAATAAACTAAAATACATAATGAAAGAATACATAATTAAAGAGTAATATGTATCAGAAGATATAAACCAATTTTGTTAAAAAATAAAATTGTAAGCAAATTTGCCTACAATACAGTTTAAGGGATACCGTATATTATAACCGTATATTATACATTTTACCTACAGTAGATTACGCATATTTCACAATTCGTTTATTTCAATAAATACTGTAAATTGAAAAAAAATCTTTTGGTCATATACGTAAAAAATAATCGGGCATACCTGGATAGAGAGGAGAAAAAACGAATTGGAAAATATTATTTTTTTCAACCGGGAAATGCGGATGCGGATATCAAATACTGCATCTGCGCATAGTTACTATAGAGAAATCAATGATCGAGTAAGTTGAGAATGCGATCAAAGACTTTATATGAAATTTGATTAACAAAAAAAAATGGTAAAATTATGTTTGTTAATTAAAAAAGTAAAAATAATTTTAATTATCAATTATATACTTACAGTATATTTTAATAATTTTTTAATAAAAAAAATTAAGAAAAAAAAACAAATTTCACATAAAATTTGAATTATATCATTTGCAATACTGTATATTGTAATTTTCTTTATTCTTATATATTTAGAATAAAAAAAATTTATATTTTTATTAATCCTGAAAATATTTTATAGAATTTAATTAAAATAAAATCTGGTTATATTTTTAAAACTGTTGCACTATAAATATTTAAATATAATAGATAAATTTTTATAAATTATATTGATTTCTATAAATGTAAATTGAAAAAATTGATAGTATTTTATTCATTTTATCTTATTAGATTGATATTTTTTTTTTCTAATTATTATGGATTAATATTAATTTAGAATTTAGAATAGAATTTTATTTGAATATATTTTTTCCAGAAATTACTAATTTAATAATTACGGATATTTGTGGCGAGAAATTGTGCGCGTGATACAACCAATCTTTGATCTCGCTAGGATAATAAACAAAATATAAATCGATCTTTATAATCTCTTTTCAAAGAAAATTTTCCTTTACCTTTTATCTTGTACTTTTTTCTTGTACTTTTATTTCATTTGATAAATATTTTTTTGTAAATGGGTGTTGGTGTCAGTTGCCTCGGTCTGGGTGCGGCCTCATGGGCAACGTCGTGCCTTGCCTCTTGCTTTTCTGCAGCAGCATGTTCTTTAGCGTTCAAATCTTGTAATTGCAATAGTTCTATTGCGACTAGAGTCGGTTATGCGGTGAGTCTTCGCTTGCAAACTAAAATAAGACTATGTATCTACATTTTCTCATTCATTTCTTTTTGCAGATCGTTCTTCTTATGAATTCCATGGTTAGTGTGTGATAATATTGCTAGACTTGTACCAAAGCACAGTGAATCTTAATTTCAAACTACATTTTACAGTTAGCATGGATAATGTTAACAGATTGGGCGATCAAACAATTAGAGAAGATAACGTATGAGTACCTGAAATTAGATTGCGAAGAGGGAACTTGTTACGGAGTATTAGCCGTACGTTCATTTCATTTTGTTCAAATATCAGATATCTTGCTCGGCTACATTTTTCTGTTTATTGAAATCTATAATTAGGTCCACCGTATATGCTTTGCTCTTTCATTTTTCCACATCTTATTGGTACATGTCAAAACTAATGTGCCAAGACTCTGTCAATATTGTTATTATATGAATAAAATAAATTAAAATCAATAATATTATTTTCCTAATCCAACCAATTTTTTATCAGCTTATGCTACATGTTGGATATTACCACTTGCCATATCTTTTATTAATTATATGCTAATATAGCTGCTTATTTTCAGAGCACTGTGTAGTTTATTACTTTGCACTATCATACCCACCTTTTTGTAGCTTCGGTGGTTATACATATATTAATAAGTAATATATATATATGTTTATAGTAGATCTATCTATATATGAGTAGTTATATATCTATTCTATGTAATGCTATATATAATTACTACTTTATCTAGAGGAAAGTATCAGGAGATACAATTTATTTTATTCATTATCATAACTCCCCCTGCATATCTCCTTCCTAAACTAGAAAGATGTATGAATCCTTCTTAATTTTTTCCAAAACAATTTTATTTATATTAAGAGTAGTCTGGTTATTAAGTCATTGATTATAGTATCTTGAACCTTGAATTTCGGTTCTTCAGAGTGGTCCACGAATTTCTTCTTTTATCAAAACCTCCTGATAATAAAGTCTATAAAACAAGAGCACAGCCATATACTTGATTGGACTTAAAGCCTATCAGCAGTTTTGATTTGTCCTCATCGAATCATATAAACTTCTCCATCAATAGTATGCTATCAGTTTGGGATCTACTCTTCTTATTACCATTTGATAATGCAGTTGTGTCAAGAATAATCCTACTGATTTTGGACTTTAACCTGATCACAATTTTTTGTATAATCAGTATTTATACTAAGAAATATCGGTTAGTTTATGGTTACGCCAATAGATATAGGTCTTACTAGCTATTTTCTTTTTATCAGAAGAATCATATTAACCTCCTAGAGGATTTGAACCTGTATCTTGTAATCAGACCTATGGAGCACTAACTACTATACTATGGATCCATAGGTCTTTTTCAAAAAATAATTAAAATTTATTTTTTCTTAATAGTTTAGAGAATAAATTAGTTTGTATAATAAAAATTCATTAAAATTATATATATTAAATTCAAATTTAAACTAATATTATTAAATCTATTTAATAAAATAATTTTTTGTTATATTTTTTAAAGAATTTTTTAATTATTAATTTATATTTATTATATTTCAAGTAAATCTTCTTATAAGCTATAATATATTTATTAATAAATCTTATAAATTTATATATTGTCTTTAAATTCTTAATATCAAAATTACTATATTACCTATATAATTTAGCTATTTATTAACTATTTACTATAAGAAAATTGATTTATCAATTTATTATTATATAATATTAACTATTTTAGATTTTTTAAATTTTTTTAAATTTTTTAAATAAGATTATAAAAATAAAAAAATTGCTTTTCTTTAGTAAAATTCTATATTAATCTAAACTATACTTGTTTATTTATTACTATAAAAAAAAATTTAATTAAAAATATAATTTTCAATTATTTATTATACTATATATTACTTAATATTTTTATTATAATATAATTTTTAAAAAATATTTAATTCAATTTCATTATATATATAATTTAAACCAAAAAATTATTGTCAATTTATATTATAGTTGTTACTCTAATATAATTATAATAGTTTTAATAGATAATAAAAAATAAATAAAAAAAAAAAAGTTTATATTAATAAATAAAAATTCTTTCAAATTAATTATCAATTTTTTTAATTTTGAAAAGAAAAAAAATCAGTACAAGAAAAAAGAAGAAAGATTTTAAATCATTTTAATAAAAAAATATCTTAATATTTTATTTTTTTATTATATTTAATTGCATTATTAGTTTTAATATTATATAATATAAAATATATAAAGAGTATATATTTTGTTTATATTTTTTTTTACATGTTAATCAATTAGTTCAAGATTTTAATTAATTATCAACTAGAATTTTCAATATAATAAAAATTTTAGAATTAAATTGAATAAATAATATTTTTTTTAAAAAATTAAAATTTTATTAATATACTTGAAAATACTATTATAAACATATATAATTGATATAAAAAATTATATACCTGAAAAAATAGACTCTATTAGCTTTTTTATTTATTTTAATTAAAAGTATTTACTTATAATAAATTTAAGATTTTTAAGAAATTTAAAAAATATATTTATTAGTAATTTACTTTTTAAAATTTTGAATTTAAAAGAAATATAGTAGAAAATCTTTTTTTTAACAGGTTTTTTTTAGTAAATTATTTTTGCTATAAATCAAATAAATAGAGTTTTGTTTATATTGTTTTTAAAATATATAAAATTTTTAAGAAAAAAAAATAGACAAATAGAAAAGATATCAATCTTTAAAAAATAAAGTATTAAGAAAAATATATAGATTCTATTATCAAAAAATAAAAAATATTTTTTGAGAATATCTATTTTTGAATTGATAAAAGAATTCAAGAAAATAGATTATCTAAAAAAAAAATTATAATAAAATTTTAAAATAATTTTTTTATGATTTGTTTAAATAAATAAACTATTAATTAATAAATAAAAACTAAAATATAAATAATAATTTATAAAATTATTAAAAAAAAACTTTAAATCATCCACTTGCCATGTATCAAATCAACTTTGAAAAGCAAGCATATCAAATTCCAATTATAATTTAAAGACAAGCCTATATATCTGATTGCAGTACCTTCATATATTTGAGTATTTCTTATTTTTCTAACCTCCTGCTAGGCACTGCTCAAGAATTTATAGGGTTTTAAAATAAGTTTGCTATAAGCTTGGGTGGTTAATAACAGACAGACAGATGAATCATTGAGTCTTACATTAAACTCTTTTTAATTAAGAAAGATATAGTTTAATTTAGTAATTATAAAATTGCTATAATAAGTAAATCAATTATAATAAACAAGAAACTAACGATTGTCTTCGTTCCTTTTAAAAAAAAAAAAAAACTTTAAATCAAAACCTATTCAATAATATATAATTTAATATAATACTTATGTTTTTTATCTTATTTTATTAATTAGTTATTGAATTATAAATATAAATAAGCTTTTTTAAAAAAAATCGAATGATAAAAATAATGCGTCAAACGTGCGTGCAATTGTGACCCATGTTACGTATGTTAGTATTTTTAGCTATTAAATATATTTTATAGATAAAGCATAAATAAACAATGTATACGCATGTACGACAAAACAAAGCATTAATTGTACTCAAACCTAAATTCTTGCCGATTTTAGAAGCAATTACAGTCCTATAGTAAGTATAATAACATTTTGGATCTCCTGCATGACGTCATTGGCCTGTGTTGTTTTTTAATATATTTGCAAATTTTCTTCTAGATTCTTTTTCTCATATCTCTTCACAACTGGAATATGAGTAAATTTAAAAGTTCTTGGATAGTTGCCGTAGTCGTGTTGTTTATGTTTGGTTGGTTTCTTGAGATCAGGGCTTTTAATTGCTCTAATCTGGAAGTGGAAGGAATACGATTCGACTTTACTGAGCTTAATCAGTTAAGATCTTTTACACTTTCAATGTGCTTTTCGATGCATTAATTTATGTATTTTTAATTTATTCAAAATTCAACCTTAGGACGTTTAACATTACTAATACTGAGGAGTCACCTCCTACAATGAAATATACCACTTATTTAATAAATCCGTGTTCCCCCTTAACTTACAATAATTCTGTTGAAATTCCCAATGAAAATATGTGTGAAGATGGAACCTTTATTTGCGAGATTATAACTCATAAATCGGAAAATGTCACTTTAGTAACAAGTGTCAAAACAGTTGCCGGAAAC